TATTATTATAAAAACACAAATTTTTATTACATAAAATATATAAATACACTTATTAGTCTTGGACTTTATGGAGTCCTGATTGTGTACTTCGGTATCTGCTACTGGAACTATACTTATACATCTTGGACTTTAGTTAGACCTGAGGGTGGATGTACTTCGGTATCTGCTACTGGAATTCCTCGACGAGTAAAACTACGTGTGCCGAGATTGTGCTCGTTATGTCAGTTATGATGAGATCTCACCACAGGACTAGGCGGAGTAACTTGAAGGTGTACTTCAGTGAATGCTACTGGAACACCTCGAAGCGTAGTAATAGTAACAGGTGTGCTGAGTTAGGGCTCATTTTGTTAGTTATGATAAGACCTTACTTCCGAACTTGATAGAGTGACTTGAGAGTATACTTTGATGACTGCTACTGGAACTCCTAGACGAGGAGAACTAGATGTGCCGAGTTTGGGCTCGTTTTGTTAGTTATGATAAGACTTTACTCCCGGACTTGATGGAGTGACTTTAAGGTGTACTTCGGTGACTGCTACTGGAACTCTTTGACGTAAATAACTACAATTTACAATTTTTTTTAATTTTTTCTCTATTATATGAGCATTATGAGCAATATGACATAAAATTATCGGAAAATTAGAGGTATAGTAGAAAACTTGCGTGTATTTAAACTTTTTGGTGTAATCATGTTGTATGTAATTTTTTAATGCGCTTAAGGCATGCACAATTGGACTAACTAATACATTTTTTTTAATCTTATAAGCAATAAATTTAATAAAGCATATAATTTTTTAACGTAACAGTCGCCAGACATTTAATGAAAATTGACAGACGAAAATTGTATGAACTTTACCATAAAAATATCAAATATATATCTTTCCGATAATTTTTAGAGAATATGTATAAATTATTCTAAGATGTTTAAAAGAGTGTGCTGCACAGCCAAATCTTTACATATTAGAACAAAAGTAAGACTTTACGTAAAAACAATAGCTTTGATAATGTTGCGCGCCACCATTAATGACTGATATATGGTGACATTAGTTACCACTATCGCCTTCTTGTATCGAGCTGCAGCACTAGGAGATCCTTCTAGAAATTTCCATGGAAGAACTTACTAGAACTATCGACACCTAGTCAATCAGTACCGATATGTACTCGAACATTCTAGGTGTAGAACATTAGAAGATTCTGGAACTATCTGAGGCCCTATATAAGGCCGGTATAAACTGCGACCGGAGTCATTTCCGCTTACACCGTCGCCCCCGTGCAGTCGTGCGCTTGCGGGGTCCGTTAGCTGTCCAACATCACCGTCCCCGTACGATGAGTACCCTCCCGCCGCAGCTAGCGCGGCCGCTCCTTTGTGGTTGTGTTAGGTGCCCGCGCTCCCCCCCGAACGGGTTCCCGCCTTGTCGTGGCGGGGGGGCTTAGTAGCCGTGGCTTGGTCACCCACGGTGAACAAAGAGGAACCCCTTGGCTGGCCCGTGGTGTAGGACCGGTCGAGGTGGCCACTCCGAGTGGGCTTGACGAGCCCACTTCGGATGTGAGTCGGTGGGCTGCGGTGAGAGGGGTGTCCGCTCCCTCTACCGCTGCAGCCGAGGTGGAGTCGCGATGGAAGAGGAGTGTTGGTATGGCGATGCGCCACTCGCCCTATCCTCCGCGACTCTGACGGGGCCGCACCGTTAATGATGCGGTGGTGGTGGGGCTGCGGGGGGAGAGGAGTGTCGGTATTGCGAGGCGTCGCTCTCCCTACCCTCCGCAGCCGAATCTTGGTTGGCGGCGGAGTCATAGACCAGATCCACTGCTGGGGTCAGGAAGGCTGGTGCTTCTGAGTGCTAGCTTTTCCTGGCCCCATGGCCTTCGCGTATCGGACAAGGGGGCGTCCGTTGTGCATGTTAAATTGGAGGCCGAGGAGGAGGGCGCGCCATGTGTTCTGGTGCGCCTTACCTGAGAAGGAGATGGAGAAGGAGTAGTCCTCTCCCGAGGAGAGGCCGCCATAGGGCGGCCAGCGCAGGTTGGGCCGCGGATGTGTGCGAAAGCGTTCCCGTGGCCCTGCCAATATGAGACGAGGGTGGAACACCATGGGGTTTTAATCGGTGCAAGTCCGACATAACCCGTCCTTGCCCCCGAGAAGCGGGTATGCCTAGGCATTTCCCCATGTAAAAAAACAGGTGCCCGCGCTCGCCGTCAACGTGCGGTGGGTACATCCAGCCTCCGTTTGCGCCGATGCCCCCGTGCGGTTGCGTTAGCTGTCTGCGCTTGCCATCCCCTTACGGTGAGTGCCTTCCCCGTTCCCGCCTTCGCTAGCGCTGCCATCCCCGTGCGGTTGTATTAGCAGACCGTGCTCGCCGTCCCCATGCGGTGGGTGCATTATCGCTCATGCAACTCCCACATTGTCAAGTGCAGCTGTGTTGGTGGACCCGCGCTCCCGTCCCCGTGCGGTTGTGCCTCGCACCCCCCTTCCCTAAGGGGGGTCGCTTCCGATGCGGCAAAGAGGCCTTACAGGCCAGAGCCAGTCCCACAGGTGGTGTTTAGTGGGTAGGCACTTCTTAGTGAGTCCCACATAACCACGCAGCCAGCTGCGTGGTATACTATGAGCATTCACCTCAGTATCTTTGCAATAGGCGCAAAAAAAAAAGAAAAAAGAGCGACCGGAGTCAGTGTTGAGTTAGCGATACAAGCGAATACTTCGAAGCGATACAACTTCGAACTAAAGTGATCAGATCTCTCAACTTACCTCGATGGATCCGCATTATATTTGAAAAAAAAATAACCCCTCAACGAGGAAGCATAGGAGTTAAAATTGTGAATGTAAATGATAACGAAATGTTTAACAATCCTACAACTTTACAACAACTTGGTCCGTAGCAAACTTGAATATTGTTATCAAGTGTGGTCTCCCGTTTACAAAAACCACATTTAAAGAATAGGACGCGATCGAAAGAGACTCATTAAACACCTAATCATTCATATAAGGCTTCAAGTCATAGTGAGTGCTACAAAGAGAAACTCAATTACTAAAGTAATAAAGTATGATACTAAAGAATGAAACCACTGACAGTTAGTAGATCTCTTCTTGATATGAAATTTATTCACAAACATTTCAATTGTAAAATTGATGACTGTGTACTGTTGAGTAGATTTAATATAAATGTACCTACTTGGGAGACCTCCTCTCAACCCATATCCTTCTTTAAAGACTGATAGCAATTGAACAAAACTTGGACAGAATGCTCCAATAACACGTATAACACGTGTATACAGGGCTACTTTGCAATAACAGAAGGTTCAGAATAAGTAATATAGGCTAATGGTAAACAAAACTTTATTCAAAAAAATCTCAAACATTCTGTTCTTTACTTTTTTTTTATTATTTTTATTTTAACTGATTTTACTGCGCATGCACAAATTCGCAAGGGACGATCGGTAGGCAAATACGTTTTTGCACATAAATCACATTAAATTTGGGTTCATTTAATATAAAAGTACAAGCCTTATTTTCAAAAACGGTATATAATTATTCATTACTGATATATTTGAACTTAGGTTTAAAATATTATGTCTACTTTTTGAAAAATAACGATGTGTTTTGAAAAGTAACGCTATAACGTATGTGTAAAAAAACAGCAATATTAAAAAATTATAACGACAGTTGAGAAAATTAAGTTATGCTATAATGTGTTCTCTTATAATTGGTAGCACATAGTGATTCGGAAATTTAAGGCACATGTTACATGTAAGTTATAAGTCATATAACTTACATGTAACAACTGTTGGAGATCCATACAAATAAGTAAATAAATGAATGTAATTAATAATGTAGATGACATGATTTTATTCTTTTAAATTTTTTGAAGACGATTTTTACTTTATATTAAATATATGTTATTTATTTCAATATAAACGCTAAATAATAAAAACTCTTAACATTATGCGCGTCACTTCAAAAGCTATTAAAACTTTTTAACTCGTGTAACGCCTAAGTCAATTATCATTTTCTTCCTCACTTTCAGCACCTCAGTCGAATATTTATTTCGAGATTTGCATATTTAGAGAAAATTTCGTAAATTGATTTTAGATTATGCCTTACTTACATTTCAGTGAGAAGTTGGAAATAAGATTCGGTATCTGTCACTTCAGGGGCGAGCTATTATCTTCAATTTCGCAATTAGCTGTTGTTTAGAGAGAACTTTGCTATTGTTATTGCTTATCTTTATATCGTTGGGGCGTCTATTAGTGAACGTGTTACTTTTGAACGACTTGACCGGTTGAGGGGATATTCACACTAAACAGGTTGTCCCACAACACAACGTCAAGCCAAAACGGGGTGACAGGATTGACTGTAACCATCATGAGAAAAATCAGAAAAAATCTATCCCATGCAGTTTGTAAATTATGAGCATTTAAGAATAAACCTAGAAATTTGGACAAACTGTAACTATTTTCCGGTTATTGTGGTTCATTTTTATTATTTTTGTTCTTTTAAACTTTGGAACCGTAACCCTATAATATTTCTAGAACCACAGTCAAAAATAATGACACAACTGCCCCAAGTTTTCTAGAATTAAGACTATTTGTTAAACTATGAATTTAAAATTTTCAAAATTTGGCGACTTTGAAAGGCCCTCGTTTAAAAAAAAGTACTAAAGTGCCTGAGCAAGTACCATTAAAAATTTCCGCATTTAATCAGGATTGTAAAATAGTACAATACTTGTTAGTTTTATACTAAAAAAAACTAGTAAAAAAATTAAAACCTCGAGTAACCCGATTTTTGCTAAACCATTTTACTTAGATCAAATGTTTTTTATTGAAATGTGTTTTTATTGATGTGAAAAATGGATAGTGGACATGTTTGCCATGAGCGATCGAGACAGATAGTGACGCCACTTTTACCAAAGTTAACAAAAGTAAGTAAAATTAATACAATAATGAAAAATCTTGACCTAGTTTAGTTTAGGTTTATTGGAATAAAAGTCAGATAGGCAAATAACATTTTTTTATTACAATAAATGTTCAAATTGTTTACCATCATTCTCAATACATGCCCTACATCTTATTAAAAAAGATCTAGTTATTAGTCGGGCATATCCTCGAGAGTTGATGTCCTCGGCATCTTGAGAAATTCGTTCACGCAGCTTGGCTACGCTGTCAATGGGCTTTGAATAAACTTTCTCTTTGAGACCGCTCCAATAAAAAAATCCAGGGGATTTAAATCTGGGGAACGGGCTGGCCACGAGATAGTGCCTGAAAGTCCAATCCATCTTCCCGGATATTCCTGGTCAAGGAAATCTCTTACTTGCACTGCGTAATGCGCTGGGCAGCCATCTTGTTGTTACCACATGTGGCGACGATCTGCTAGTGGTACGTCCTCTAACAAAGTTGGTAAATTTTTTCGTAAAAATGTAGGTAATTCGTGCCATTCAAGTTCTCAGGCAGCTCAAAAGGCCCAGCAATTTTGCCGTTCAAAATTCCGGTCCACAGGTTTACTTTAAAGCGGTACTGCGATCTGTCTTCTCGCATTAAATGTGGATTTGCCACATGCCAACATGAAAATTGTGTAAGTTTGTGTAACCTTCTTTTTTTAAAGTAGATTCATCTGGCCTGAGAATTTTTTGGGTGAATTGGGGATTTTAATTATGCCTCTGTAGCATTGTTCTAAAAAATGAAATCCTTTTGGGATAATCTCGAGGAAGAAGACTTTGAACTCGTTGTACGTGAAACGGATGCATTTCGGCTCTTTGTAAAATACGATGTGATGTGCTCTTGGGTATTCCCGTTCTTTCTTCAATTCCACGAACAGAAATACTTGGGTCATCTGCGACCTCTTGCAACACTTCTTCCTCGTAAGGAAAACGAGCTCTACCTTCAGCCCGTATTTGATTCTGGAAATGGCCGCCATCCGTGTACATTAACAAACAGGCGGTGATCCGGATAGCGCTCTAAATTTGGATATCTTTCACGATAAAGTCTAGCGGCGCCACTTGCGTTGCATCTGCATTTCCCATAAATGAGGTGCATGTTCGCATATTCTTGTGAAGTGTAGCGCGTAGGCATGGTAGATAACAAGAATGCCAACATAAAAGTCCAATTTCAAAAGAGAAAAGCCAAAGTTGCCGGTATGTAATCAACAAGTCCAATGCACAAAAATCCAAGTCCAAAAAGAGAAGCCAAAGTTGTCAGTACTAAATCATACGGAAAGGTGCGCAGTAGACGAATGATCGAAACTTACTAACTGGTGTCAGACGCATCTCCGTCTCACTGCGTGGCGTCACTATCTCTCTCGGTCGCTCATGGCAAACATGTCCACTATCCATCTCTCTCATCATTTTGCCGTAAAATTAAGAACCTACCAAGAGCTTGTGCGAATAAAAAACATTTCAACTGAAATGGGTTAGCAAAAATCGGGTTATTCGAGGTTTTTATTTCTTTACTAGTTTTCTTTAGTATGAAACTAACAAGTATTGTACCATTTTACAATTCAGATAAAATGCGCAAACTCTTAATGGTACTTGCCAAGGCGCTTTAGTACTTTTTTTTAAACGATGGCCTTTCAAAGTCGCCAAATTTTGATAATTTCAGATTCATAGTTTAACAAATAGTCTTAATTCTAGAAAACTTGGGGCAGTTGTGTCATTTTTTTTTTGACTGTGGTTCTAGGAATGTTATTTAGAGTTACGGGTTCCAAAGTTTAAATGAACAAAAATAATAAAAATTAACCACAATAACCGAAAGATGGTTACAGTTTGACCAAATTTCTAGGTTTTTCTTAAATGCCCATAACTTCCAAACTGCGTGGGATAGATTTTTTTCTGATTTTTCTCATGATGGTTACAATTAATCCTGTCACCCCGTTTTGGCTTGACGTTAAGTTCTGGGACACCCTGTATAGGGTGAAGTGGGGTAATACCGGACGGATTATCGACTAGTTGAAAGATTCTGGCAAAAACTTAATTTTCTCGACATCCGTATACGTCAGATTTCTGGAACATGGCGCAAATCGTTATGATAATCTATTTTTTTTTGTAAACTCAACGATTTCTGTTTTAACGTGTCTGAATACAAGACTTACTTTTTTATATGCATGATGAAGAATTTGCCGTCAAGTCATAGTCATAGTCATTTATTCCAAAAGCAGTATACATTGTGTGGGAAACCTTAATTTTAACGTAAAATATTAAATGTCATTAATTAACATTTTTCGTGTTTACTTAAACATGTCTACAAACCAATTATTAATTAAATAATGCATGCAATATTAATTTTACCAAACTCAATATAATCATTCACTGAATAGAAACATTTTTCAAATTACAACCGACTTCAATATACATAAAATTAGAACATCATCTGTTCTATGTAGTCGAAATCAATTATATACGCATTATTAAGGATAAATCAAAAAAAAATACCGGTCAGATCTTGATCAACTTTTTATGGGACCACGTGAGAAGCACCAGCTTTTAAATAAAAAAAGATTTTAATCAAAATCAAGAAGAAAAGAATCATCAAAATCGGTTCAACTAGAAAAAAAAAATACTTAAAAAATTCACTCGAATCGAGTACCTCCTCCTTTTTTGAAGTCGGTTAAAACAGGTAATATTTTGAGTGACAGATCCACTCCACATTTGGTACAGTTTATTGGGTATTTATATGCATTTTGAGTATTGACATCATATTGACAACCACCTATTCTAGGCTAGTGAAGTCTCCTGACAAAAAAATGTTTCTCAGGAACATTTTTTTTGTTTGCACTTTTGCTCTAACGACCAGCAGCTAGGGCACCTCTCTTAACTACTTTAGTCGCACCACAGTTGCATATAAAAAAGTCAATTTCACCATCGCACATCGCGACAAAACTCGCGATACCATCTATACCATCTGGATGGTTGGCGGTCCACCACTGTGCGATTTACAAGAAGTTTTCTTCATCGCACAACTTGAAAAAAATAAATTCAAAAATAACACCTTCACACGCTGCGTTTTTAAAGTGTTCAATTTCAATAAGACAACCATCACTTTATCACCCACTTTTGAATTGCAATGCGATATTACTTCGTTAGTTAGTTATGAACGCAGGTGCAGAATTTGAGCTCGAACCGTTTCACGTGAAACAGCCTGAACGTTATTCACATTACACCATGATTTATGTTTCTGAGGAGTGATAAGTGGCAACCTTTAACATGAAGATAAAATATGATTCGCGATATGGCTGCTACAGAAATTATTCATTCGCACCGGTTGTATTCAAACCGACGCTGTAACGAAATTGTATTTTCACACATCTAATATAATATAGAAATTATTTTTTGTTTGTTCGTATTTTATGCGCCACCATACCGTTAATCAGATTGCGCTAACACTTTGTCAACTTATTTTTGTGAGAAGGTTCAAGGCATATTACAATTAACTTACAATAGGTGGCGCGCGTATCGTACCGACAAATTATGTATTTGAAAGATATACATCACTCAACTTCAAGAATGTATTATCATTTTTAATTAAACAATATAACTTACAAATTTAAAACGATATTTCGACAATAATTTTTTTCTGTGGCAGCAACTCGCCTGATACCAGCTAGTATTAAATAAAAAACAAAACTTTTTGAGGTGAAAACTTCTTTAGAATCGTTGTGCTTTGAAACTCGATGAAACTAAGAAGCGACACTGAAAAGAAAGAAACATACATCTATAGGATTTAGCCTGTACTCTGCATTCGTCTCATTCTCTCGAAGTTTAGATTTCTGAATGTTTCTCTTCTATCGCGTCTGAACTGCACACATGTTTTTTTTTAATGTCGACAAAGACAAAACAAATATGTGTTGTATGGCCACGCTGTAGCTATATTATGTTTGTAACATGAATGGGTCTGCTCGACTAGGGAAGGACCACGCTTTCACAGAGTACCAGAGTGAAATAGCAGCTTAATGCTGCTGTTGCGAATTGTGTGTGTAGAGAACCTGAGACCCATATTACAGGAAACGGGTATTCCATTTTAGTTCTTAGGGCTGAACAAGGTATCCTGCATTTGTTTCTTAATCGAGGATAGATGTAGATGTTATAGGTCACAGCTTCTACTTACTATCGGGTGGAATGTGTGCTCGCTTGTCACTCCTTTTCTTTGAAAAAATGCCACCTACTTAAATAACTAAGTATCAATGCGCCTGTTAAAATAAGAGCGGCAAAAGCATCTGTGTGCATCGAAGCATCCCATGGTGCCATGAAAATATTACCACTTAGAGGAACTCTGTTGTATAACATGTCCTGCTAGCACTCAATTGTATACTCATCATCAGTCTGCGGCAGTCTACTGCTGGACATAGGCCTCTCTTAAGGTGCTACTTAGCCCGATATTATAGGTTTATTGAAATAGAATTCATTTTAAATGATTGATCATTTTGTAAAACCTATATATAACGTATAATTTATAAAGTATTCATTAGTACTATAGTAACATTTATTAGTTAGGTACTGTTTTAATTTTTGTGTAATTTTGAAGAATCGCTATCATGCAAACCATTCCTTAGGATGTCTAAAACCAAATGATACTTGTTTCCTACCGCGGTAAACTTATATAGCAGGCTATATTGCTGCGTTCACAGGTCGGGTCAAAATCAGTTAATGCGTTTTCTTGACAAGAAACTCTCAGTAGTCAGGAAGTTTGTAGTATTTCAACCCCGTGCTTCAGAAAGCACGTAAAGTCGTCGGTTATCCGCCTGATCTCTATCAGGTTATGTCGGATTGACGTCTCACCGGACTATAATAGTGATAGAATGAAGACAGGAGAATGAACTTGTGCTTGTGCATATTTTTATTGTACTCTGTATTGATTTCTATTATAGTCTCTATTAAAACTGGCCGCCATGACGAAAATTCGGTCTAGAACTTTTTTTATAGAATAGGGTGACAAAGGAGCACACAGTCCACCTGATGGTAAGTGGTTGTTGTGGCCCATAGACATCTACATCTATCCTCGTTTGCGAATCAAAATGCAGATGCGTTGTCGCCCGTGAGAACTAAGATGGAATGCATCATTTCCAGTAAAAAGGGTCTACGGTACTCTACACTCACCATACGAAACACAGCAGCATTAAGATGCTATTTTACGCTAGTATTCTGTGAGAGCGTGGTCCTCGCCCGGTCGACCATTCGTGCTACTACTAAACTACAAACATAGCTGCAGTATGGCTCTACCACGTATTAAATTTTTTTAAATAAACGTAACTAAATAATTAAACATAAACAACAAATAAACTGTGTAG